CGAGAGTGGGTGTGTGTGTGAGAGAGAGTGTGTGTGTGTGTGAGAGTGTGTGTGTGTGTGAGTGAGAGAGTGTGTGAGTGAGAGAGAGTGTGTGAGTGTGAGAGAGTGTGTGTGTGCGAGAGAGTGTGTGTGTGCGAGAGTGTGTGTGCGAGAGTGTCTCTCACACACTCACACACACACACTCTCGCACACACACACACTGTCTCGCACACACACACACACACACACTCTCTCACACACACACACACACTCTCTCACAGTGTGTGTGTGAGACTGTGTGTGTGTGAGACTGTGTGTGTGTGTGCGTGTGTGCGGGACAGTGTGTGTGTGCGGGACAGTGTGTGTGTGTGTGTGTGTGTGTGTGTGTGTGTGTGTGTGTGCGAGTGTGTGTGTGTGTGTGTTACACGTGGAATCTGTGTGTGAGACTGTGTGTGTGTGTGCGTGTGTGCGGGACAGTGTGTGTGTGCGGGACAGTGTGTGTGTGTGTGCGGGACAGTGTGTGTGTGCGGGACAGTGTGTGTGTGTGTGTGTGTGTGTGTGCGAGACTGTGTGTGTGTGTGTTACACATGGAAACTGGACATTATACAGATATCAACGACGATACAGTTATTGCTAATAACCTGAGTTTGATTCCAGTCTCGAGTTCTTTTGCCGATCCCCTTCTCTTTGCCTTATGCTTTCCTGTTAAATCTCTACTGTCCTGTCAAAATAAAGCCATGAAAAGACCAAAAAATAAATGTGCAAAATACTATAGCAGTAATATTTTTGTTAAATTTACTATTATTTTAATTTGATAGTATAAAGTTATACCCATAACTGAAGTGTAATTTTGGCCGAAATGTTGCTGGTGTCTTCTCATATGCTGGTCATCAGATATATAATATTGCTTCGAGATTAGTGGGATTTTGGTTTAGTTGCTTGGAATGCAATTTTTGGAGCATTCGCTCAAACCAAAAAACAATGTGGAAAAAGCATTCACGGCAGCCTCGGCTAACTCAGCCCAGATGGACGTTACAGCTGTGACCTAATTATTACAGAAAAGGGAAAATGACACCACACTACAGCAGTATTTGCGCAAACCAGTGCAACCGGTGTGAAAATCTGTATTTGAATGCCATTTTATGTGGTTCAGCAAGTTACAGTTCTTCAGATAAACATACTTTGCGTCTTCGGCTGCTTTTATAGTCGTTTCTGCCTTGAATAATAATCGTACATTTGAAAATCTAGAGCAACGGCTTAATTCCAAATTAAAAGAGACATTAGTTGCACTTAAAATCTGAATGTCACGGCATTATGTAACAATACATACACACCTGATTAAAAGACTTGGAGCAAAAATAATAAAGTGAAGAGAAAATCTATTGCAGATGTATGTGACACTGGAGCACAAAACCAGCCATAAGGGTCATTTTTTCGAAATTGAGAGTTATACATCATCTGAAGGCTGAATAAATAAGCTTCCCATTGATGTGTGGTTTGTTAGGATCGGACAATATTTGAAAATCTGGAATCTGAGGGTGCAAAAAAAATCTAAATATTGAGAAAATCATCTTTAAAGTTGTGCACTTAAAATCTGAATGTCACGGCATTATGTAACAATACATACACACCTGATTAAAAGACTTGGAGCAAAAATAATAAAGTGAAGAGAAAATATATTGCAGATGTATGTGACCCTGGAGCACAAAACCAGCCATAAGGGTCATTTTTTCGAAATTGAGAGTTATACATCATCTGAAAGCTGAATAAATAAGCTTCCCATTGATGTGTGGTTTGTTAGGATCGGACAATATTTGAAAATCTGGAATCTGAGGGTGCAAAAAAAATCTAAATATTGAGAAAATCATCTTTAAAGTTGTTCAAATGAAGTTCTTAGCAATGCATATTACTAATCAAAAATGAAGTTTATATATATTTACGGTAGGACATTTACAAAATATCTTCATGGAACATGATCTTTACTTAATATCCTAATGATTTTTGGCATAAAAGAGAAATGTATAATTTTGACCCATGCACTGTATTTTTGGCTATTTCTACAAATATACCCCAGCGACTTAACACTGCTTTTGTGCTCCAGGCTCACAAATACAACCATTTTGAGGTGATTAACCCTTTGTATTTCCCATGACAGAAACTCTGTCCCAGAGTCATGGAGGACAGGAGGCCACAGAAGTCATGTGACGAGGCCATTGGATCATTAGTGAGGCAGGAGTATGAGGCGGCAGCGGCTCACAGCACAGAGGCCCTGCTGGCCATCGGGCCCCAGACCCCGACCCCCAGCACGGCCTTCCTCCGAAAGCGTGCCCTGCTCTATCGCATAGCAGCACGACTCCAGCTGGTGAGGCTGCACGTCATAGCATAGAAACACATCCATGTTTTTCGTTTCTTTTATAGCTTTTCCTTTTTGTGGTGTTTATGAAGACGTAAGTGACAAAGCAACACAGAAGATCAGCTCATACCTACACTGCCAATCAGATAGGCACCTTACAGACTTTTATTTACTGTTTATCACTGTTACTTAACCAAAAAAAAAGCCCACTTTAAAATAAAACTCCCATTTGTCTGGTGATGTGTATTAATTTCCTGCCTTGTCTCTTTGCAAAAATCAACTACAGTGTTTTTAATGAAAAGATAAAACCGTCATTTGAAGATGAGCTTGAGTGCAAACTCAATTGTTAGTCTCTAAACAACTAGGTTCAAGAGTCAAACAGCTATAAAGCTAGTGTCTGCCGAGTTTGTTTCAGGTGAAAGGTTTCAGGAACGTTTGCTGTGTCCTAAAGTTCTATGAAGTCAAAACATAAAGAAAAATGGTTATTATACAGGTCGAAGTTAATTTGCTGAGAAAATCTTCAGTGATCTTCTATTGATTTTTACAAGTACATTTCAAAAACAAAGAGTAGTTTACATTATTGCTTTAAGTGCTCAAGTATGAATTAATGTGGACCTTTCACAGTGCCTATAATTTTCACTATAATTTCTTAGTTATTTTTACACCCCATAGCTGATAGTTTTAGATTAGGAGGGTGGAAAATTAACAAACGATTTGTGCTTTTTATGATTCAACAGAAAGACTACGATCAGGCTGATGAAGACTGCAAGCATGGTAAGATGAAAAAACTAAAACAAACTATCATTATGCAAGATTTACAGCTGGCCACTGTTAGTACTTTTGGTGCTGTATGGTTCTTTCAGGCTGAACCGTTCATCTGTGTAAACGCTTTTTAAAGGGATAGTTCACCCAAAAATGAAAATTCTGTTATCATTTCCGTGATGATGTTCCAAACTTTTATGAATTTCCTCCTCCTGTTGAACACAAAAGAAGATGTTTTGAAGAATGTTGGTAACCAAAAAGTTGACGGTAGCCATTGACTTCCATAATATGGAGAAGGAGGGAAAAAAAACAGTGGAAGTCAATGGCTACCGTTAACTGTCATAAAGAAGTTCATACAGGTTTGGAACAACACGAGGGTAATGATAACATAAGTTACATTTTTGGGGGAGCTGTCCCTTTAATCTTTATTTATTTATTTATTTATCAATGCCATAATTTGCTCATCTCTAAAAAATAATTATATTGTAGTAGAAGTGTAAATAATCTTATTAACAATATGAAACATAAAATAGTATGATGTATCAAAATTGCGATGCCTGTGAAATTGGATAAAAGGCACTCAAGTAGAACCATGCCTTGCATCAGACGGCTCAGGATTATGGGATGTCTCGTCTGTGTGTGTGCTGGTTTGATCACTTGGCTGTGTTGGTGTGTTTGTTCTCGTAGTGTTTGCTGAGGAGCTGGGGAAGGGAGATGGCAGTTTCAGGGCAGGTCTTCAGAGTATGCTGCTGGATGGAAGCTTACGGGAAGTGTGCAGTGTTCTCTCTAAAGCACTCTATGGAGAACCACTGGTAAACCAACTCACAATTCCTTTCCAAATGAGCTAGCTTGATGTATTGCGTTTCAAATTGACATCATGATATGCATCTCAGATTTGATCAGGCTTGTAAAAGCTTTTATATGGCTTTTAGTTAACTATCTACATTAGTTACTTTTAATGAAAGACATTTTGGATTATGCTGTAAACTTTACACTGTAAAAAAAATTTGCTCTCAACTTTAGTTTCTCTGTAAACTTCGATTTTTCTCCAAACCTTAGAGACGTTACAATTGGACTATAAACTTTTTAATTTTGCTCTAAACCTTACAATTTTCTTCCTCTCAACTTTAGGTGCTTTGAAAGCTTTACAGTTTTGCACTGAATTTTACATTTGTGCTGTAAACTTTGCATTTGCACTCTAAACGATAGTTTTGTTCTCAACTAAGTTTTCTGTAAGCTTGACTGTTTTTGTTCTAACGTTTACAGCTGTGCTGTAAACTACAGCTCTGTTCTAAACGATCAAATTTTGCTCTCAAATTTAGTTGCTTTGTAAAGTTTTACAGTTTCACTCCACAAAGTAGTGCTGTAAACTTTACACTGTTAAACAATTTTGCTCTCAACTTTAGTTTCTCTGTAAACTTCAGTTTTTCTCCAAACCTTAGAGACGTTTAAGATTTATTTTTGAGCAAGCTTTACAATTGGACAATAAACTTTAAATTTAGCTTTAAACCTTACAATTTTCTTCCTCTCAACTTTAGGTGCTCTGAAAGCTTTACAATTTTGTACAAAATTCTACAGTTTGTTATAAACTTTGCATTTGTGCTTTAAACTACAATTTTGTTCTCAGTTGTACAATTTTGCTCTCAACCAAGTTCCCTGTAAGCTTTACAATTTGCTTTTAACTTTTATAGTTGTGCTGCAAACTTTACAATTCCTCTGTAAACTTCAGATTTGTTAAACTTTACAATTGTGCATTCAGCTTTAAGGGCTCTGTAATCTTTACAATTTGCTTTTAACTTATATAGTTGTGCTGCAAACTTTACAATTGCTCTGTAAACTTCAGATTTGTTAAACTTTACAATTGTGCATTCAGCTTTAGGGGCTCTGTAATCTTTACAATTTGCTTTTAACTTATATAGTTGTGCTGCAAACTTTACAATTGCTCTGTAAACTTCAGATTTGTTAAACTTTACAATTGTGCATTCAGCTTTAGGGGCTCTGTAATCTTTACAATTTGCTTTTAACTTATATAGTTGTGCTGCAAACTTTACAATTGCTCTGTATATCTGTATCTCAGATTTGCTAAACTTTTACAATTGTGCATTCAGCTTTAGGAGCTCTGTAAGCTTTACAGTTTTATTCTACATTTTATAGTTGTGCTGCAAACTTTACAATTGCTCTGTAAACTTCAGATTTGTTAAACTTTACAGTTGTGCATTCAGCTTTAGGGGCTCTGTAATCTTTAGAATTTGCTTTTAACTTATATAGTTGTGCTGCAAACTTTACAATTGCTCTGTAAACTTCAGATTTGCTCAACTTTACAATTGTGTGTTCAGCTTTTGGAGCTCTGTAAGCTTTACAGTTTTGTTCTACATTTTATAGTTGTGCTGTTAACGTTATATTGTAAACTTCTTACCTTTTAATTTGCTAAAATTTACAAATGCATTTTGGTTGTCATAGAATGGGATCATGACTAAAGACATGACAAGACTGAAGAGGCTCCTCTCAGAAATAGAGGTCAGTTTGTCTTACTGTGATTGTTTCTTATATTACCCATTCTTAAAGGGGACACACACAGTTTCTGCCAGACTCATGTTAATATACCTATAGAGTAGTATTGCATCCTTCATATCGCCAAAGAGTTGTTTAGTTTGATCAGATTAATAAAAGCCAGATACAGCTTTATGCTTCCCTCCAAAAACAGTCGAGCTCCTGGAGGCGTGCCGTGGGCGGAGCTAAAGAGTCCCGAGCACTCGCAGCTTTTGTGTGCGAGCTCTCCTCCGGGAGAAGTGCCCATACAAGGAATCCCGCCTTTTATGACGTCATACAGGGTCATACTCGAGAAAAAAACTTTCCGTAACTTATACGAGCCCTGAAGGAGTGTATTTGGCACAGAAATACTCCGTCATACGTCTAACTCGTGTTTTGAGACGTTGGTCTCGTTTAGCATGAGAAACCGACTCTTTTAATAGTGTGCATAAGTCAGAATCGCATTAGACCTCCCCTTTAAAGGCTTTACGCACAGTCAGCGTCACTTGCGTTTTCATTTCTCTGTGAAAACATTAACCCTTGCCTTCAAATGACTTTCAGGTTTCAAGAACTAGTACCTCTCACCACAGATTTTGTGCATGACTAAGAGACATGTTAGAGAATAGTGCGTGTGTTTGCGTATGAATCACAAGGGTGGTCTCAATTGCAGGCTGTGAGGAGTGAAATGGCATCAGAGTTGGTTGAAGAGAACGAGGAGGGTGAGTTCCACTTCAGTTTCACAATGCATCCAGGATCCTTTTTCATCTCTGATATTCTAGCTCTTATGTGAGCTTGGGTGTTTGCACTGACACGCTATCTATCAGTCTTTCCTCTTTCTTTCTTTCTTTGTGATGTTCTCTGGACAGATGTTCAGGAAGGCTGGCAGTTTCGTCCTCCTCCTCGAGGGGTCACTAGTAGTGAGGAGTACACATTGTGTAAAAGGTACACTAGTCCTGTCAGCAAATAGAGTTGATTTTCAGCACTGCTTTCTTTGTTGATGGATTGTAATGTGCTGTTTTGCTGGTTACTGTTAGGTTTTTAGAGCAGGGTCTGTGCCGGTACGGAGCTCAGTGCACCTCGGCTCACTCTCAGGAGGAGCTGACAGAATGGCAACGGCGCTACGCCTCCCGACTCATCCGCCTCAAACAGCAGCAGGAGGGCAAGCACTTCACCGAGAACTACATGGAGGTTCTCATCGAGAAATGGATCAACTCCCTCACGCCGGAGAGAGTGGTACAGTCCTCTTGAAAGAATATCTAACAGTTCACTAGAGCACTAGTAAGCTACAGCCAGCTTACTAAAGGCAAAATAAAGTAGTGATGCACTGAAATCTCATTGAAATACATTTTTGGTATCGGCAGGAAGTTTTGGATGGCTGAAATTGACCAAAACGGTGTCGTTTAATTAGCGCAATATCGATTTCTCGTTTTGAATCGGTTTTCATTTTAATGAACCAAGATCTTTTAAGTCTATGCTATTTTCATGCGTGAACCTCTTGTTTGTGGAGACCTGCCATCCATTAATCGCAATAAGCTTTGTGCTTTGTTACTTTTGATATGAAACAAAGTCTCAGCTTTCAAATCCTGTCAGTTTGATCACAAAGTTCAACCAAAAACTTTTGACACTCTTTGTGGCGTAACAGATCAGTGTAGCCACATCAGTACATCTTCGTCTCTTCCTCTTTATTACTAGTTATAGCACAAAATAAACATGAATGAACATCAGAAGGAATGTTAAAAGAACCAGTACAACTTTATGAAATCTATCATGTAATCGCTGAATCAGTGTTAATAAAACTGCTTGTAAACAATGTAATGTAATGTTACATTTACCTCAGGAAAGCCATTCAGCGTCCATAAACTTTTTAGTTAGCTGAAAAAAATTAATTTTCAATTTTTTTTTTTACTAAATATATGCACTATATTTCATATTCATATATAACCAGTTGTCTTTATTATCTAATATGAAATAATGTAATAAATTATTACAGCCTGTGTTGAAATGTTTATATTTCAGCAATGTATTGCAGTAGAAACTAGGGATGAAACAATTACCGGTTTGACGATAAATCATGATAAAATTCCCCACGGTTAGTATTACTGTTTCATATTTGAATTCTCATTAAAATCGTATTCGATTACCGCGATTTGAACAACTCTGGATAAATAAATATTGTCCAGCATAAAGCAGTTTTAAGTAACAGTAGTTTCGATTTGTGTGAAAACATGGCGGAAAGCTGGGAGGTTTTAAAAGAGTGCTAAGGGAATTATACAAATGGATATATGAATGAATTATTTAAATGTACCTCTGAAGGTTCTGACTGTCTTCAGAAGAGATTCAATGGCATTTTGTTGCAATACCTAATTAAGAAGTGTCAAAGCCACTAGAAGGCAAGCCTGTAACCTTTAGCCAAAAAAGCATAACGGCTAATGCTAACGCTTCTGGTTTGCCAGTACGTGGGAAAGGAGACTAGAGGCTGTTTAAATTTTATATATATTTTTTTATGTACGTCACTGGAGGAGAAGCTTCACTACGCTGAATAAACAGCTTTTTAGAGGAAACAGCTTATCATTTAATGAATCGACAGCCTATCAGCTAATCTCCAACATGTTTTACACTAAGCAATACTCTTGGATTTAACTATTTTTAGAGTTAACACTGGAAAAAAAATTCGTTTTATAAGTGAAGTCACTGACTTTTTTGCGACGGGTGGGATTCAGTTTCCGGCATTTCTCATTCATTCCTATGGTATCCATAAACGGCGAATGAATGTCGCACAACTTGAAATTGAATGACGTCAAGGCTGTAATGTGATTGGTTAAGTAGGGCTGGACGGACGATATGGCCAAAATTTGAATCACAATATATTTCTTAATTTCGGTCGATACGATATAATTCCGATATCGATATGAACACTATTAAAAAAGCCTTGTAAAAATGGCCAAGAACGGCCACAACAGATATCTGTACCTACAAACCTATGAAAAATTTA